ATTGATTATTTTAATAATTAATAATTAATAATTAATAAATTAAAATTAATTAATAAATTAATATTTTCAAATACTATTTGTAAAAATAAAGACAAATGACTTTAACATTTGTAAAAATATATATTATATTGAATGCGAACTTTAATATAAAAAGAGTTAATCACGTAATGTTAAGTCTACCATCACATGATATTGTGCAAGAAACACTTTGGACCTAACATTCTCAATTATTCAAATATACAAAATGCTAATTGAAATTAATTTAATTATAGCCAAAAAAAAATCATTTTTAATAATTTGTGTGGAAAAGAAAGCAATCCCAAACGCAACAAGAGATTCCTCTAAATTCACTTTTCCAACCTCTGGTGGACTTTTTCTGCCTTGATTTTCAAATAATTTACTTACTCTGTTATAGAATAATTGACATTTTTTATTTTAAATTTATTTTAAATTAATTGTCATCTTTTCATATTTTAAGGAAGAAAAATATTTTTTCATAATTTAAACTTATTATTATTTTTTGACTTTAATCATCTATTTAATCATAAAAACTATTGCTATCCCTTTATCTTTATCTCTTTTTTAAATATACATAAGTAAAAACATAAATTTTCCCTATATTTTTAATCTAAAGGTAAAATAAAAAATGTCTAACATTCTAGTTTATTATTATGGTCTTACATAAGTCGTTACAACACATTATTGCAAGTTCATAGCTATTATTACAATAACATTTTTTGAAAAGTTGCTAATTCTTTAGTAATGAGGAGATTATTGTAACATCCTTCTACAATATACCCAGTTGGTTAATTGGGGCAACTCATCCATTGAGTATTGCTCCTGTGCTGGAGCTAATATGTTTAGTATTGTGACTTAAAAACTTGCTTCCTCAGTTGTGGGGCGCCTCAAGAAATACCGCAAACTGTTGACAATAACCTGGAAATTTTGGTGAAAGCAAAACTTTTTAGTGTCTTAGAAGCAGGGTGGCAACAGCTCTTTTTCTTTGCAAAAGTCTTTGATGCCAACAAGAAGATGCAAGGATGAAGACCCCCACAAGAATTATTTTACACGAGGGAAAAAATTGAGTGGCACAAATTTTGCTTTATGAGATAATTCTAATTCCATCTTTGCTCAAGTACCATGATCCTTACCTGCTGGAGAGGCCCACTGATGGCATTACCCCTGTAGCTGATATGAAATTTTGCCTTGGCCAACAATCCCTATGTTTCAACAGGTGGAGTAAAAAATTTATACACGTTAATCCAATTGCTGCATCTAGTACTTTCCTCTCACATTCAGGGAAATTAGGAAAGGGAAAAAGTCACTTTCGGTTTCTCAAGCATAAACAAGGGACAAAAAATGTGACAATGGGAGTAATAATCACCTCAGTGTTGAACTCCCCAGACTTAACAGCAACATTGATGTCAGTAATGATCTTTACTAGATCCAACAATAACCCAGCATGATCAGCTGTTTCCACAAACAGCAAGCTGAACCATAATAAAAAGGAATTACTTAAGATGAATAATGTCAACAAGCACAACTTAGCATCTCTTTGAGTCATAAATTGGAGAAGATATTATAATACAGCACCATTAATAGATAGCAACAAGGGCTACAGTGTAATCTATCATTATCATGCAGGTAAGGATTGTGCTGATGACTGTGCGCCCAACATGTTGAGAATAAGAACAAAGCATGCATTACCTACAGTTGGGACCATCATCATTGATGCTTATGTGGGTAGCAATGTCCACATCAACCTGAGGAATTCCACCAGATAAAGGTTTGAGCCAAGACTGATGTGGGAGGTGAGAATTACACATTCATTATGATTAAAAAAATGCTCATATCCCACGACAACCTTATCCTGACTTCAGTACTCAGATTTTGTTTTAACATTCAGCACATGAGAACATTTCAACTTGTGGGGTAGTGGGAGGGAAACAACAACTTTCTAACTTCAAAAATATGTTTAGAATGAAATAAGATTCAAAGGTTAACCTTTTCCTTTGGTGGCTCAACCCCAAATGCTACACCCATTGCTAATTGAGAACTTGATTCCTGGACCACAAATAGCATTCAGTGAGCTTACAAGGACCGCCAAAGAATATCACAAAACTGATAAGCTATCATAAGCAAAAAAATGGTTATTACATACAGGGTGATACTCAAGCAGGTTGTTTATGATGGTCAAACGGATTGCCTCAAGTAACTCTGGATCTTCAACTTTCCTACCAGTATTGCTGCAGACATAGAGTAGAAACTGAATCAGTTAAAATTGCCACCAAAACAATCACTACTATTCATAGAGAAACTCATTTTGGGGCCAAATTTCGTATAGAACATCCTATTTTCCTCTTTTGTCTTTACGTACATGTAATTGGATATCACATAATTCAAAACTTAAACTGTAACTCCAAGTTAGTTCAACTTAAAACCAGAGGAAAAGGTCTTAACTTTTTTATATTAGAGTACTATAACTTTTTTATATTAGAGTACCGAATGCAGGTAAACTGCAAGTAAATTGCTAAAAAAATGGTTGATGAGTGTTCTTCAGATACCATTGAATGCAAGTTGAAAATAACTTTTACAGCAAACAACTTACGCTTTAGTGATGGAAAACTTATTGTGCTTCCCAGAAGAATCAAGATAAACATTGGCTTTAACCACATTTAGTCCAAGACTTTTTAATGCATTCATCTGCAACTCATTCACTACTAGTCAGCTCACTTCTTCCATAAAATGAAGGGCTAAAATTACAGAAGAAGCAAAAAAAGAGATTATCTAAAGAAGTGAGAAATTGCACGATACAGTATCAAGAAGAGCTCCAAGGCGATCCCCAAAGGTTATTTCCACTACAGTTGCATCTGGATCAGAATCCTGGTCAATTATAACTTTTGGTGTTGGAACAGTATCAGTCTCATTGAGGCTTCCATCTTGTTTTCCATTCTTTAAGCAATTAACACAAAGAAAAAGAGGAATTTAGCCTGTTAACGTGTAAACATCATTAAACCAAATAGCATAAGCTCTTCTGTACCTCCACAGTTGTGGCTGATGACGATGCTTGTGCAGTGATTCTCATACTGGAAGACGACAATCTGAAATGAGTAGATGCAAAGATTAGACATGAACTAAGGCACTTAGGCACATGTTTCTAAATCAATCAAAAAAATCGATTTAAACCATTTTTCAATCAAAGAATCCAACATTCCTAACAAGCTCAGCTTGCATTTAGTTTTCTAGAACAGGCCATGCAGCAAAACTGCAATTTGTAGCCATTCATAACAGCTCATAGTGGAAGATCCCTTCAATATGAGTAAAACTCTGAAGGAAGACTTAAATCTTTTAGGTCAAAGAGTTCCAGTGAACTGATTCAGTCAACATTTGCAACATAATTGCTAAATCAGAATCTTGTACTAAAGGCAGCAGAAAAATCGGTCAATTTCTTTCTTTTTTATTCACATCAAAGAGGAAGCAGAGAAAAGAAGCATTACAGCTTAGAAAACAAAATAGCAATACTGTACAAGCATAACAACAACCATTTCCTTGATCAGCTCAAAGAAGACTAACCAGAGTCTATGAATTACAAATCGTGCCAACACTGAAAAAAGAACCAGAAAATACAGAACTAACCAGATATACATACACGCAACATTTTCCTAATCCAATTGAACCCAACATACCTTCTTTTTTCAAGATTGCTGGGTAGTTTGCAAAAGAGGGCGTTACAGACAAGATGATCTTTTTGTTGAAAGACTGTAGCTTTACTCGTTTTGTTCCTAAAACACACGGGAAGTTTGGCAGCAGAGGCCATAGCTGCAGTCATTTTTTGAAAACTCCCCCAGAAGAAGTAAATATGACAAAGGAACTAACTTTAGTAAGGAAAGTGGAAGACCCTGAAGCTAAAGAGAAAGAGGAAACAAAAGGGAAAGCAGCAAGATGAAAGAGTGAGCAAATTTGAAGATATGAAAATGGGTTCCGGATGTATCCGCCATGGGATGGGGAAGAACTATAAAAATTGCACCAGCTAGCACAAATGGGTGTGGTACTTATATTTGGCAGGTACAGGCAAGGAAAATTAACTACCACATGCTAGTCTATATTTCGAACCATTTTAAGGGCAATGGCCATTGCCACATGTTTCTGTTAAGTCACACATATTCTCTGCTATTATATTAACTTATATATATATATATTAAGTAATTTATTATGATAGTTTTAAAAAAAAATTAAAAATTTTAATTTTAATTTATTAAATAATAAATTTTAATTATTTTATTAATTATTAATTATTTTTAATAACTAAACTCATAAAAGATCGGATAAAATTGTGTGGGCTTAATACAAATCTTTGTGGCATAAACAACAACCCATTTTAAGTTTGAAATGGTATCAATTAGGGGTGACAATTTTTTTTATCCTTGTGGGGCATGTAGAAATGGAGTGTTTTTCCACACAAAAGAAATGGAGTATTTTCTTATTGTAAAATTTTGTAAGAAGTTTTCCTAAACGTAAAAATTTTCATTGATGTGAAATATTTAAAAAATAAAAAAATTATAGATTTCAACTTAGTTTAATTATTTAACTTGTTATATGTCATATTGATTATTCATTCTTAATTTTAACCAAATATTAAAATTTTATTACTTTAAACCAAACCCAACCAACACCCTTTTTTTCACCCTAACCCAACTATTTAAAATAATTTAAATAACTTTATAATATAAATTAGTGGACCCATTTCTCATGAATATCTAGGACGGAGCAAATTTTACTCATAAAAGATATAAATAAAGTTGCAAACTTTTTATTTATTTAAAAATGTAAATTTTAATAGTTTTTAAATAAAATAATAAATTTTAACTTTTTTTATTTAAAAATATCAATTTTTAATATTTTTTCTTTAAGGATATGAATTTTATATTTTTTATTTAAAAATTAATTAGATAATAATGCTAATAATGTGACAAATGATTTTTTTAGTCATCTAATTAATTTTTAAATAAAAAAATTAAAAATTTATTATTTTATTTAAAAATTAACAAAATTTATATTTTTATTTACACATTTTCTAATTTCTACCGCATCAAAAATCCTTCAGAAATGGAGATACGAGGCACTTCCCAAGCTTGCAAGGCCATGTTGTCATCACTAGTACCAATCTATGTAGATTAGCATTGAAGACACCGGCCAAAACCCAAAAGTCCACTCCTTTTAAACATATAATAATAATTAAAAATTTAGAGATGTAAATTTTATTGGTTTTTAAATAAAAAGGTAAATTTTTAATTTTTTTATTTAAAAATATTAATTTTCAATATTTTTTATTTAAAAATATAAATTTTACATTTTTTATTTAAAAACTAACTAGATAGTGATACTAATTATGCGACCAATGATTTTCTAATTATCTAATTGATTTTTAAATAAAAAATACAAAATTAAGATCTACAAATAAAAAAGTTAAAATTTTATTATTTTATTTAAAAATTGATAAAATTCATATTCTTAAATTAAAAAAAAAGACAAAATTTGTATTATTAATTATACATTTTCTCAATTCTACCCTATCAAAAATCCTTCATAAATGGAGATAGGGAGGCACTTCCCAAGCTTGCGAGGCCCTATTGTCATCACTAGTACCAATCTATGTAGATTGCTAGGGCATATGGTATTGAAGACACCGTCCAAAAGTCCACTCCTTTTAAACATGGCTTAAGTATTGGAAAAGGATCTCAACTTTTATTAAATTCTTAATTGAGGTTTTTAATGTTTATTGTGCTTAATTAAGGTCTTAAACTCGTACAAACTCTCAAGTAAGGATCCAATTGGATGGAATCTTAACCATCCATCAATTCTCATATGACCGTTTGTCGTGGTTTGTTACCCCCTCAATATGTGGCTTGCCAAGTGGATCCATAAGGAAAAATAGTAAAAAAAATTTCCAATATGGCATGTTGGGCGGGATCTTCCCCTCCACATACCTGATGGGTCCCACAAGACTCTTTTTCCTACTCTCCTTTTCCATCTTTGACTATTCTATTCCTTTTTAATATGACATAGAAACTTAAAATTTTTGCCTCTAAATGTATCAATAGAAAAGGACTTTTGAAATTTTCAAAAGTTAATTTGAGGTTTTTATTGCTTGGTGTAGTCTTTTAAATTATTTTTTTTTTCACGTGTATGTGTGGATTTAACAGTATATAGGTATGACTATGAAATTTTATTTGAGTTGTTAAATTACTTTAATATTTTTTATGATTTTTTAATTTGTTTTCTTATTTAAACTTTTTTGTCTTAATTGCACATAATTTATTTATTTTTGCTTTGTTAATTTATTTAATTTATCACTTTTTTTATTCTTTTTCACTTATTGAAGAAGATCCGGCATGAAGAAGGGCCAACTAAAAATTCTAGGGATTTCACCCCCAAAATGTGGAATAGGAAAGAAGAAGAGAGATGGGAGAAAAAGGAGTTGTAGGATCCCACCCAACATTCCACGTTGGAAAACATTTTTTTTACTATCAGCCTTATGGGTCTAGTTGGCATGCCATGTGTTGAGGGATAACAGACTACAACAGACGGTCACTTGAGAATTGAGGGATGGTTAAAATTCCATCTAGTTGGGTCCTTATTTGAGAGTTTATATGAGTTCAAGCCCTTGATTGAGCGCAATAAACATTGAGGACCTTAATTGAGATTTTAGTAAAAGTTGAGGTCCTTTTCCAATACTAATTGAAAATTTAGAGATGGTTTATGTTATCAATCGAGAGAAAAATAACACTGTTCCCAAACATGCCCAAATCTTGCCCAAGAGCACGTTTGGATATGCTCATTTGTTCAAAGTTGGCTTATAAGTCACTTTGGGTTGGTTAAACCCCCAACTTGGTCCCTCAACTATTGTCCAAATCTTGACTTACTCCCTCAACTTAAAAAATCCTTGATCTGATCCCTAAAGTTTAAGATTTTCATTCTTTTTTAGTCCCTCCATTAAAATTTTACTAGCATAACTCATTAATTAACTAAAGATACATGACATGTCCAAAATTTTTTACACATAGGATTAATAGTATGGGTAAACAAATGACATGAAAAAAAAAAAAAAAGCATTGGCCACATAAGACAAATTGCCTTAAATTACTAAATTAATTTTAATTTTAGATTAATTAACAAATCTACCCTCATTGGCTTACGCCTTTCTCTTTCTTCCCCATCGTTTCCCTTTTCTTCTACATTCTTCCACTTCAATCCAATTCCTAGGTTCTTTGTCAAAGAACAAAATTAGCTACAAAGCTAGATTTGCCTTCTTTCTCTTCTTCCATCTCTAAACCTATGACTTCTGTCCCTTTCCAAAAATGCTTGAGCTTATCATGTCAACCGGCCTCAACTTTGCACAAGGGAACACATTTTTAGGATTTTAGAGGTGATGTCAAGGTTTATGTTGATGGTGACATTGAAGGTAGAGGTGGGGTTGAGAGTGGAGATTTTGAGTAATGATTCAGAGAAGGAAGAGTAAGATGGCAACAATGACGACAGTAGAAAGGAAGAGGGATGGCCAATGTTGACTAGAGGAAATTTTTAAATTTATAGATTTGGATTGACCTTTTCTCTTCCTCTTTCCTTTCTTCTTTGCCCACAAACCAAATTTAGAACCCAACAAATCCCATCTCTTCGGTTGCATGGTACCACCCTTTTCAACAGATATGGAGTAGTGGTTGATGTTTGAGAAGATCTTTGGTTGTAAACCTTCGATGCACAATGCAGGCTGACAACAAAGCATTTGTAGTCCAATTTTGATGGGTCTAGGTTTTCTTTGTTTTGTTCTTTGATCTTTGTTGGATTTGGGATTTGGGTCTAGGTTTTGTTGGTTTTCTTCTTTAATCTTTGTTTTTTTTTTTTTTTTTTTTGGCAAATGCTCCCTAGATGTTTAGTTTCAAAGAGAGTCTGCTTCGGCTTTTTTGGAGATTTGGAATACATGTTTGCATGTCTGTGAGTATGTGTAAATTATTTGTCTTTTTTGCATTTTGTTGTGGTTGGTTATCATTTCTGCTCATGAAAAAATTACGATTGGTTTTTGACACTTCAGTGCACTGATGAGAATTGTTATGAAGAAACAGATCATTCTAGATTTATTGAAGATGGAATTCATGGATATCTATGGTTCCATGTTTCAATGATTCCACGCCACATTTTTTCTTGTAAAGTTCCTATAAAAACTAATTTGAATTTTCACTGTTCAGTTCGAACAATGGTTTTATCGTACTAGAATATATTTTTTTTCCACAGTTGTTTGTGGCTAAATGACAAATGAATGCAATGTGGTAGATAAGTGAGGGGTTTTGTACTTTAATTATGATTATCTGGTTTTGTATTAGGCCTTTTTGTAATGTCACGGTTCTTGGAATAATGTAAGAATGATGGTTGTGACATTTTCTTTTGCAAATGGTAGGTTCAGTGTGACGCAGGTAGTGCTCCTTGCCTTTAAGAGGGTAGGAATTTCTGGAGCAGTAGGAAGCAGGCAGATTAATGTGCTGACTTCTGTGATTTAAGTGTTAGAGTAAATAAATACAGCATTAGTTACTGTTCTGATTCTTTACTTTCAACTTCTCTCTCGGGCTCTATTTAATTTTTCATAAACTATGCTTGATTTATTAGTACGGTGGTTGTTCATGGGGATCCACCTACTTCTGCAGATCATTGTTTAACATGCAGCATTTCCTAATGCTTTTATTTTCTTTGTGTGTCACTGCAGGGACCTTATACCGGCTTGAAACTTCAAATTTATAAATATCCATACAGATTTGCCAAAGTGGCAAGTAACAGAGAGTGGGGCAGCAATTACTCGTTTGTTTGTAAATCTGCATAATTTTAACTTCAGAAGATAGGTATTTTCTAAGATTCTCTCTTTGCTGGATTTAAGCAATTAGCTGTTCTGCTTTGTATTCCTTTCCTGTGATTCAAGTTTCCTTTTGCCAGCTGCCTTTATTCTTTTCTTCTCTAAATACATGTCCTCCTCTTGAATAGGATAAGTTTGAGATATCTAAGGTGATTTTTAGTCCCTAAAAAGAACTAGAATCCTGAAGGTTGTCCATTGTTAACATGGCTTTGTAGAAATGAAGATCCTGTGGTAGTAAAATGGCTTTTGTCCCCGAAGAAGAGAAAACTGAAGATTACCTGTTCAAGATTGTATTGATTGGTGATTCAGCTGTTGGGAAATCCAATTTGCTTGCAAGATTTGCTAGGGATGAGTTCTACCCCAATTCAAAGTCAACCATAGGAGTAGAGTTCCAAACACAAAAGATGGATATAAATGGAAAGGAAATCAAGGCACAGATCTGGGACACAGCAGGTCAGGAGCGTTTTAGGGCGGTTACATCTGCATACTATCGCGGTGCAGTTGGTGCTCTGCTGGTCTATGACATCAGTAGGCATCAGACTTTTGATAGCATTGGGAGATGGCTTAATGAACTTCACAGTAAGAACCTTGATGATTTTGCAATGTTTTATTTATTCCACTTATTATGGTTGGGTTTTAATAATAGTTAAACATGGGTGTTCGAATGCAACAAAATCAAAACCCCTGCTTCCTAATTCCCCAGTCTTAACTTGAAAATAGGTTTGAAAAGGGTTGCATAATGGTGGTTTCTTTCCCTTCACATCTCCTTTTTAGTGATGTATACATATTTCTCGTCTGCATTCTATATGACAAATAGGCTTCCTATATATGTTGAAAAAGGATTGACATTTGTGGGTTTTTTATTTGAACAGCTCACTCTGACATGAATGTAGTTACCATACTAGTTGGCAACAAGACAGATCTCAAGGATGCCAGGGAAGTAACCACTGCCGAAGGCAAGGCCTTGGCAGAAGCACAGGGTTTGTTTTTCATGGAAACTTCAGCCCTGGATTCCTCCAATGTAGCAGCGGCCTTTCAGACAGTTGTTAAGGAGATCTACAACATATTAAGCCGGAAAGTAATGATATCTCAGGAGCTCAAGCATAAAGATAGTGCTGCCTTGGCAGAAGGGAAAACTGTGGTTTTACGCGGAGAGGGAGATGGGCAACAAGAACAATCTAAAAAAGGTGGTTGTTGTTCATCGTAAGACTAGAAAAATACTCCACTGCCATATTTCTTCTTCTCCATATGTTCATTTCTTGATACAGTTGAGATGTTTATTTAAATAGAGCATTTGTTTCACTTGTCCATGGTTATGATGGTGAAGAGAACTCTTAAACGGGTAGAGTGTAAATGCACCTGAGGGGATTAAGGGTAAATGGAAATCATTCTTGCAATGTTGAAATATGTTGTACTTCATCTATAATGTTCAGCCATAGCGAATGCTGGATGTCTTCCTTCCTTATCAAATCCAGTTATCTCCGGACTTTTATTGTTGCTAAGTAGTTTGAAATGCTCCTTGCATAAGGCTGCGTTTTGAAATATTGGGTAGTAATATGACTGCAACTTTTATTGTATTATACTTATGCAAAAATTTCATTAATGTTTTATACTCATTTTGAAATAGTACATCTATATAATAGTATTTGAAAATATTAATTTATTAATTAATTTTAATTTATTAATTATTAATTATTAATTATTAATTATTAAAATAATCAATAATTAATAATTATTTATTATTTTTATTAATTAAATTAAATAAAATTATTATTTTTAAAGATAATATTTTATATTTTTTAATGTGCTTAACATTTTACTTTTATCACCATAACACTATAAGAAAAGGAAGAGTATGAATCGTTTTAAACAGTCACTTTTGATGATAAACTATTTAATTATTATTAACAAATTACAATTCAGCGGATTTGCTCGTCCTTACCGATTTGCTTTCGCCCATCCAGTTTGGTTATTATAAGTTTCCAATTTTTTCAATTCCTTCCTCTAAATCTGCAGGTAATATATAGGGTAAACTACACGAATAATCACTCACCTTTATCACAACTTTCGATTTAGTCACTCTCCTTTGAAATTTGTAAACCTAGTCAACTTACTAAATTTGCATTTTGTTGCATATAATGAAGTACAGCTTAATGAAGATTAAGTTCCTTATTGCCTCCAATAACTCCTTTGCATGTCCTTTTACTGTGTCAAACATCTCCACATTTAGTGCACCTCATTTGGATATCCAGCTTACGCATTTTTCCACCACCATTAGGCTTCTCTTCATCAACAGCTTTCCTCTTTGCCTTCTTAGGTCTTCTTGGAGGCCTTCTAAGTATAGATTATAAAATAAAATATTTAAACATCATGAAATATATAGAGCAATAGTCGTCAAAGCTTTCATGACCCACAGAAGCAGTGTTGCAAATTTAAACAAAAGGTCCCCACACATAAAATAAAGATGCGTGGCCCAAAACACAAGTAGGAGCATTCAATCCCACTAATTGATTATATGAATTGTATAGACAAAAGATAAAAAAGAATAAACTAGTGACAAACAAAAGGAAAACAAAAGGATCCATTTCCAAACCCAACACAAACATGTAACAAATCATCCCAAAATCGGCTATGTTTTCTAAAATCAAAATGATTTGATCCCCAAGCGACTTCCGAACTAGTTGTAAGGCGCCCATACAAAGTCCAATCTGCATTCGTTCAAGAAACAACGCAATCGAATTAATCACCATGAGAAGCCATGAGAATGAACCCTTTTTCTTTTTCGATAAATCAGAAGCCATGTATTAACTAATTAATTAACACTATCCATACAAGTTTCCAAATTTCCTTGCATCAATATTTAAAAACAAAACCGCAGCAGAAGTTGAACAACATAGGAAAAAACAAGAGAGGAACTTACAATAATATCAGAAGTTATGTAAGGTTGGGACAGAGGTCTTAGAATATGGTGGGCGATCCTGCTAAGAACATACATCAAAATGAGAGCTACAAACTTGGTCCATTCATTCACCATGTCTAGCGATACAAAGTTAAAGTACTTGGAGAATCTATCTGCCCTACAGTTACAGCATTGCATGAAGTTAAAGTACTTGCCTTCCTTGGCAAGCCTCAGGGGATTGAAGAAGTTGGACCTACACGAGGCAGGGATTGAGGTGGTCCCTCAAGGCATGGGGATGTTGATAAGTCTTGAGTATCTTGATTTGTTATTTTGTCAAAATTTGAATGCTCCTGCTTGTCACTAGTTTATTCTTTTTTATCTTTTGTCTATACAATTCATATGATCAATTAGTGGGATTGAATGCTCCTGCTTGTGTTTTGGGCCACGCATCTTTATTCTTTATGTGGGGACTTTTTGTTTAAATTTGCAACACTGCTTGTGTGGGTCATGAAAGCTTTGACGACTATTGCTCTATATATTTCATGATGTTTAAATATTTTATTTTATAATCTATACGTAGAAGGCCTCCAAGAAGACCTAAGAAGGCAAAGAGGAAAGCTGTTGATGAAGAGAAGCCTAATGGTGGTGGAAAAATGCGTAAGCTGGATATCCAAATGAGGTGCACTAAATGTGGAGATGTTTGACACAGTAAAAGGACATGCAAAGGAGTTGTTGGAGGCAATAAGGAACTTAATCTTCATTAAGCTGTACTTCATTATATGCAACAAAATGCAAATTTAGTAAGTTGACTAGGTTTACAAATTTCAAAGGAGAGTGACTAAATCGAAAGTTGTGATAAAGGTGAGTGACTATTCATGTAGTTTACCCTATATATTACCTGCAGATTTAGAGGAAGGAATTGAAAAAATTGGAGACTTATAATAACCAAACTGGATGGACGAAAGCAAATCGGTAAGGACGAGCAAATCCGCTGAATTGTAATTTGTTAATAATAATTAAATAGTATATCATCAAAAGTGACTGTTTAAAACGATTCATACTCTTCCTTTTCTTACAGTGTTATGGTGATAAAAGTAAAATGTTAAGCACATTAAAAAATATAAAATATTATCTTTAAAAATAATAATTTTATTTAATTTAATTAATAAAAATAATAAATAATTATTAATTATTGATTATTTTAATAATTAATAATTAATAATTAATAAATTAAAATTAATTAATAAATTAATATTTTCAAATACTATTTGTAAAAATAAAGACAAATGACTTTAACATTTGTAAAAATATATATTATATTGAATGCGAACTTTAATATAAAAAGAGTTAATCACGTAATGTTAAGTCTACCATCACATGATATTGTGCAAGAAACACTTTGGACCTAACATTCTCAATTATTCAAATATACAAAATGCTAATTGAAATTAATTTAATTATAGCCAAAAAAAAATCATTTTTAATAATTTGTGTGGAAAAGAAAGCAATCCCAAACGCAACAAGAGATTCCTCTAAATTCACTTTTCCAACCTCTGGTGGACTTTTTCTGCCTTGATTTTCAAATAATTTACTTACTCTGTTATAGAATAATTGACATTTTTTATTTTAAATTTATTTTAAATTAATTGTCATCTTTTCATATTTTAAGGAAGAAAAATATTTTTTCATAATTTAAACTTATTATTATTTTTTGACTTTAATCATCTATTTAATCATAAAAACTATTGCTATCCCTTTATCTTTATCTCTTTTTTAAATATACATAAGTAAAAACATAAATTTTCCCTATATTTTTAATCTAAAGGTAAAATAAAAAATGTCTAACATTCTAGTTTATTATTATGGTCTTACATAAGTCGTTACAACACATTATTGCAAGTTCATAGCTATTATTACAATAACATTTTTTGAAAAGTTGCTAATTCTTTAGTAATGAGGAGATTATTGTAACATCCTTCTACAATATACCCAGTTGGTTAATTGGGGCAACTCATCCATTGAGTATTGCTCCTGTGCTGGAGCTAATATGTTTAGTATTGTGACTTAAAAACTTGCTTCCTCAGTTGTGGGGCGCCTCAAGAAATACCGCAAACTGTTGACAATAACCTGGAAATTTTGGTGAAAGCAAAACTTTTTAGTGTCTTAGAAGCAGGGTGGCAACAGCTCTTTTTCTTTGCAAAAGTCTTTGATGCCAACAAGAAGATGCAAGGATGAAGACCCCCACAAGAATTATTTTACACGAGGGAAAAAATTGAGTGGCACAAATTTTGCTTTATGAGATAATTCTAATTCCATCTTTGCTCAAGTACCATGATCCTTACCTGCTGGAGAGGCCCACTGATGGCATTACCCCTGTAGCTGATATGAAATTTTGCCTTGGCCAACAATCCCTATGTTTCAACAGGTGGAGTAAAAAATTTATACACGTTAATCCAATTGCTGCATCTAGTACTTTCTTCTCACATTCAGGGAAATTAGGAAAGGGAAAAAGTCACTTTCGGTTTCTCAAGCATAAACAAGGGACAAAAAATGTGACAATGGGAGTAATAATCACCTCAGTGTTGAACTCCCCAGACTTAACAGCAACATTGATGTCAGTAATGATCTTTACTAGATCCAACAATAACCCAGCATGATCAGCTGTTTCCACAAACAGCAAGCTGAACCATAATAAAAAGGAATTACTTAAGATGAATAATGCCAACAAGCACAACTTAGCATCTCTTTGAGTCATAAATTGGAGAAGATATTATAATACAGCACCATTAATAGATAGCAACAAGGGCTACAGTGTAATCTATCATTATCATGCAGGTAAGGATTGTGCTGATGACTGTGCGCCCAACATGTTGAGAATAAGAACAAAGCATGCATTACCTACAGTTGGGACCATCATCATTGATGCTTATGTGGGTAGCAATGTCCACATCAACCTGAGGAATTCCACCAGATAAAGGTTTGAGCCAAGACTGATGTGGGAGGTGAGAATGACACATTCATTATGATTAAAAAAATGCTCATATCCCACGACAACCTTATCCTGACTTCAGTACTCAGATTTTGTTTTAACATTCAGCACATGAGAACATTTCAACTTGTGGGGTAGTGGGAGGGAAACAACAACTTTCTAACTTCAAAAATATGTTTAGAATGAAATAAGATTCAAAGGTTAACCTTTTCCTTTGGTGGCTCAACCCCAAATGCTACACCCATTGCTAATTGAGAACTTGATTCCTGGACCACAAATAGCATTCAGTAAGCTTACAAGGACAGCCAAAGAATATCACAAAACTGATAAGCTATCATAAGCAAAAAAATGGTTATTACATACAGGGTGATACTCAAGCAGGTTGTTTATGATGGTCAAACGGATTGCCTCAAGTAACTCTGGATCTTCAACTTTCCTACCAGTATTGCTGCAGACATAGAGTAGAAACTGAATCAGTTAAAGTTGCCACCAAAACAATCACTACTATTCATAGAGAAACTCATTTTGGGGCCAAATTTCGTATAGAACATCCTATTTTCCTCTTTTGTCTTTACGTACATGTAATTGGATATCACATAATTCAAAACTTAAACTGTAACTCCAAGTTAGTTCAACTTAAAACCAGAGGAAAAGGTCTTAACTTTTTTATATTAGAGTACTATAACTTTTTTATATTAGAGTACCGAATGCAGGTAAACTGCAAGTAAATTGCTAAAAAAATGGTTGATGAGTGTTCTTCAGATACCATTGAATGCAAGTTGAAAATAACTTTTACAGCAAACAACTTACGCTTTAGTGATGGAAAACTTATTGTGCTTCCCAGAAGAATCAAGATAAACATTGGCTTTAACCACATTTAGTCCAAGACTTTTTAATGCATTCATCTGCAACTCATTCACTACTAGTCAGCTCACTTCTTCCATAAAATGAGGGGCTAAAATTACAGAAGAAGCAAAAAAAGAGATTATCTAAAGAAGTGAGAAATTGCACGATACAGTATCAAGAAGAGCTCCAAGGCGATCCCCAAAGGTTATTTCCACTACAGTTGCATCTGGATCAGAATCCTGGTCAATTATAACTTTTGGTGTTGGAACAGTATCAGTCTCATTGAGGCTTCCATCTTGTTTTCCATTCTTTAAGCAATTAACACAAAGAAAAAGAGGAATTTAGCCTGTTAACGTGTAAACATCATTAAACCAAATAGCATAAGCTCTTCTGTACCTCCACAGTTGTGGCTGATGACGATGCTTGTGCAGTGATTCTCATACTGGAAGACGACAATCTGAAATGAGTAGATGCAAAGATTAGACATGAACTAAGGCACTTAGGCACATGTTTCTAAATCAATCAAAAAAATCGATTTAAACCATTTTTCAATCAAAGAATCCAACATTCCTAACAAGCTCAGCTTGCATTTAGTTTTCTAGAACAGGCCATGCAGCAAAACTGCAATTTGTAGCCATTCATAACAGCTCATAGTGGAAGATCCCTTCAATATGAGTAAAACTCTGAAGGAAGACTTAAATCTTTTAGGTCAAAGAGTTCCAGTGAACTGATTCAGTCAACATTTGCAACATAATTGCTAAATCAGAATCTTGTACTAAAGGCAGCAGAAAAATCGGTCAATTTCTTTCTTTTTTATTCACATCAAAGAGGAAGCAGAGAAAAGAAGCATTACAGCTTAGAAAACAAAATAGCAATACTGTACAAGCATAACAACAACCATTTCCTTGATCAGCTCAAAGAAGACTAACCAGAGTCTATGAATTACAAATCGTGCCAACACTGAAAAAAGAACCAGAAAATACAGAACTAACCAGATATACATACACGCAACATTTTCCTAATCCAATTGAACCCAACATACCTTCTTTTTTCAAGATTGCTGGGTAGTTTGCAAAAGAGGGCGTTACAGACAAGATGATCTTTTTGTTGAAAGACTGTAGCTTTACTCGTTTTGTTCCTAAAACACACGGGAAGTTTGGCAGCAGAGGCCATAGCTGCAGTCATTTTTTGAAAACTCCCCCAGAAGAAGTAAATATGACAAAGGAACTAACTTTAGTAAGGAAAGTGGAAGACCCTGAAGCTAAAGAGAAAGAGGAAACAAAAGGGAAAGCAGCAAGATGAAAGAGTGAGCAAATTTGAAGATATGAAAATGGGTTCCGGATGTATCCGCCATGGGATGGGGAAGAACTATAAAAATTGCACCAGCTAGCACAAATGGGTGTGGTACTTATATTTGGCAGGTACAGGCAAGGAGAATTAACTACCACATGCTAGTCTATATTTCGAACCATTTTAAGGGCAATGGCCATTGCCACATGTTTCTGTTAAGTCACACATATTCTCTGCTATTATATTAACTTATATATATATATATTAAGTAATTTATTATGATAGTTTTAAAAAAAAATTAAAAATTTTAATTTTAATTTATTAAATAATAAATTTTAATTATTTTATTAATTATTAATTATTTTTAATAACTAAACTCATAAAAGATCGGATAAAATTGTGTGGGCTTAATACAAATCTTTGTGGCATAAACAACAACCCATTTTAAGTTTGAAATGGTATCAATTAGGGGTGACAATTTTTTTTATCCTTGTGGGGCATGTAGAAATGGAGTGTTTTTCCACACAAAAGAAATGGAGTATTTTCTTATTGTAAAATTTTGTAAGAAGTTTTCCTAAACGTAAAAATTTTCATTGATGTGAAATATTTAAAAAATAAAAAAATTATTGATTTCAACTTAGTTTAATTATTTAACTTGTTATATGTCATATTGATTATTCATTCTTAATTTTAACCAAATATTAAAATTTTATTACTTTAAACCAAACCCAACCAACACCCTTTTTTTCACCCTAACCCAACTATTTAAAATAATTTAAATAACTTTATAATATAAATTAGTGGACCCATTTCTCATGAATATCTAGGACGGAGCAAATTTTACTCATAAAAGATATAAATAAAGTTGCAAACTTTTTATTTATTTAAAAATGTAAATTTTAATAGTTTTTAAATAAAATAATAAATTTTAACTTTTTTTATTTAAAAATATCAATTTTTAATATTTTTTCTTTAAGGATATGAATTTTATATTTTTTATTTAAAAATTAATTAGATAATAATGCTAATAATGTGACAAATGATTTTTTTAGTCATCTAATTAATTTTTAAATAAAAAAATTAAAAATTTATTATTTTATTTAAAAATTAACAAAATTTATATTTTTATTTACACATTTTCTAATTTCTACCGCATCAAAAATCCTTCAGAAATGGAGATACGAGGCACTTCCCAAGCTTGCAAGGCCATGTTGTCATCACTAGTACCAATCTATGTAGATTAGCATTGAAGACACCGGCCAAAACCCAAAAGTCCACTCCTTTTAAACATATAATAATAATTAAAAATTTAGAGATGTAAATTTTATTGGTTTTTAAATAAAAAGGTAAATTTTTAATTTTTTTATTTAAAAATATTAATTTTTAATATTTTTTATTTAAAAATATAAATTTTACATTTTTTATTTAAAAACTAACTAGATAGTGATACTAATTATGCGACCAATGATTTTCTAATTATCTAATTGATTTTTAAATAAAAAATACAAAATTAAGATCTACAAATAAAAAAGTTAAAATTTTATTATTTTATTTAAAAATTGATAAAATTCATATTCTTAAATTAAAAAAAAAGACAAAATTTGTATTATTAATTATACATTTTCTCAATTCTACCCTATCAAAAATCCTTCATAAATGGAGATAGGGAGGCACTTCCCAAGCTTGCGAGGCCCTATTGTCATCACTAGTACCAATCTATGTAGATTGCTAGGGCATATGGTATTGAAGACACCGTCCAAAAGTCCACTCCTTTTAAACATGGCTTAAGTATTGGAAAAGGATCTCAACTTTTATTAAATTCTTAATTGAGGTTTTTAATGTTTATTGTGCTTAATTAAGGTCTTAAACTCGTACAAACTCTCAAGTAAGGATCCAATTGGATGGAATCTTAACCATCCATCAATTCTCATATGACCGTTTGTCGTGGTTTGTTACCCCCTCAATATGTGGCTTGCCAAGTGGATCCATAAGGATAAATAGTAAAAAAAATTTCCAATATGGCATGTTGGGCGGGATCTTCCCCTCCACATACCTGATGGGTCCCACAAGACTCTTTTTCCTACTCTCCTTTTCCATCTTTGACTATTCTATTCCTTTTTAATATGACATAGAAACTTAAAATTTTTGCCTCTAAATGTATCAATAGAAAAGGACTTTTGAAAATTTCAAAAGTTAATTTGAGGTTTTTATTGCTTGGTGTAGTCTTTTAAATTATTTTTTTTTTCACGTGTATGTGTGGATTTAACAGTATATAGGTATGACTATGAAATTTTATTTGAGTTGTTAAATTACTTTAATATTTTTTATGATTTTTTAATTTGTTTTCTTATTTAAACTTTTTTGTCTTAATTGCACATAATTTATTTATTTTTGCTTTGTTAATTTATTTAATTTATCACTTTTTTTATTCTTTTTCACTTATTGAAGAAGATCCGGCATGAAGAAGGGCCAACTAAAAATTCTAGGGATTTCACCCCCAAAATGTGGAATAGGAAAGAAGAAGAGAGATGGGAGAAAAAGGAGTTGTAGGATCCCACCCAACATTCCACGTTGGAAAACATTTTTTTTACTATCAGCCTTATGGGTCTAGTTGGCATGCCATGTGTTGAGGGATAACAGACTACAACAGACGGTCACTTGAGAATTGAGGGATGGTTAAAATTCCATCTAGTTGGGTCCTTATTTGAGAGTTTATATGAGTTCAAGCCCTTGATTGAGCGCAATAAACATTGAGGACCTTAATTGAGATTTTAGTAAAAGTTGAGGTCCTTTTCCAATACTAATTGAAAATTTAGAGATGGTTTATGTTATCAATCGAGAGAAAAATAACACTGTTCCCAAACATGCCCAAATCTTGCCCAAGAGCACGTTTGGATATGCTCATTTGTTCAAAGTTGGCTTATAAGTCACTTTGGGTTGGTTAAACCCCCAACTTGGTCCCTCAACTATTGTCCAAATCTTGACTTACTCCCTCAACTTAAAAAATCCTTGATCTGATCCCTAAAGTTTAAGATTTTCATTCTTTTTTAGTCCCTCCATTAAAATTTTACTAGCATAACTCATTAATTAACTAAAGATACATGACATGTCCAAAATTTTTTACACATAGGATTAATAGTATGGGTAAACAAATGACATGAAAAAAAAAAAAAAAGCATTGGCCACATAAGACAAATTGCCTTAAATTACTAAATTAATTTTAATTTTAGATTAATTAACAAATCTACCCTCATTGGCTTACGCCTTTCTCTTTCTTCCCCATCGTTTCCCTTTTCTTCTACATTCTTCCACTTCAATCCAATTCCTAGGTTCTTTGTCAAAGAACAAAATTAGCTACAAAGCTAGATTTGCCTTCTTTCTCTTCTTCCATCTCTAAACCTATGACTCCTGTCCCTTTCCAAAAATGCTTGAGCTTATCATGTCAACCGGCCTCAACTTTGCACAAGGGAACACATTTTTAGGATTTTAGAGGTGATGTCAAGGTTTATGTTGATGGTGACATTGAAGGTAGAGGTGGGGTTGAGAGTGGAGATTTTGAGTAATGATTCAGAGAAGGAAGAGTAGGATGGCAACAATGACGACAGTAGAAAGGAAGAGGGATGGCCAATGTTGACTAGAGGAAATTTTTAAATTTATAGATTTGGATTGACCTTTTCTCTTCCTCTTTCCTTTCTTCTTTGCCCACAAACCAAATTTAGAACCCAACAAATCCCATCTCTTCGGTTGCATGGTACCACCCTTTTCAACAGATATGGAGTAGTGGTTGATGTTTGAGAAGATCTTTGGTTGTAAACCTTCGATGCACAATGCAGGCTGACAACAAAGCATTTGTAGTCCAATTTTGATGGGTCTAGGTTTTCTTTGTTTTGTTCTTTGATCTTTGTTGGATTTGGGATTTGGGTCTAGGTTTTGTTGGTTTTCTTCTTTAATCTTTGTTTTTTTTTTTTTTTTGGTGGAAAAAAAGAAAAGGGTGCAACACGAGGACTTTCCAAGAGGTCACCCATCCTAGGACTACTCTTGCCTAAGCATGTTTAACTGCAAAGTTTTGATGGGATCCAGTGCATTAGTGCTAGTATTCTCGCACCCTCTTTAATCTTTGTTTAATCTTCTTTAAAGTTGGAGAATCATCATATCTTTGAGTGTGTGTTTCTTTTTTCTAATTCTTTGATTAGTTCTTGAGTAAAAGAGAAAAATTGGAAGGGAAAATGTTCCTTTGATTGGTTTAGATTTGTTGTTAAGGGAGGAGAAAGAGAGAGAAAAAAGGAAAAGATCTAAAGGTTGAAGACAAGGGTAATATGGTTATTTTATTACGTCTATGGATTATGTGGACCTTTTTTTCTTTTTTTGCCAAGTCATGTCTTTTGTTATGCTGTAAACTCCACATATTTTCCTTATTGAAAAGATATGCTTCTACGATCAACTAACATGCCACATTAGCAAAATCTTAATAAGGACCAAATTAAAAATTTTTTGAGTTCAAGGACCAAATCAAATGATTATATAATAATTGAGAAACTAAATTAAAAGTTTAACCTTTTAAGTTTCCAAACATGTTTGGATATTAAGAAAATGGCCTTTACCGACTTTTCATTTTAAAAAAGAGTTAGAGCAACTGGGCATCCTTGAATTAAAATATATATTATATTATAAACTCATTTAAAATTTATGAATTTAATATGTATCAAATTCAATTTTTTTAAAAATAAATTTGAATATTAATATATATTTAAAAATTAAATTTTTAATTTTTAATTTAAAATTTAAAAATTTAATTAATTTTTAAATTTAAATATTAATATTTAATATAATAAAATTTTAAATTTTAAATTAAATTTTAATTAAATAAAAACGATATACTTTAAAATTAAAATTTTAATTTAAAAAAATCAAAATTAATAAATATTTTTTTAAAATTTATTTATAATATTTTATATATATTTATTTAAAAACACATTATATATTTATTTAACCATACAAACCACATCATCACAATAATCTTATAATTATAAAGTGACATCCTAACTATCTATCATGAATCTCATATATATTGGTCTGTCAATTGATTCAGTTCTACTCCCAAGTTGGGAACTTCGCTCTGTATGCCTAGATTTACCAGATTGTCTTTCTATCTAAGGGCAAATCCCTTAAACCCAATCCCCCTTTCCTCAACTCTGAAACTCTCTCAAGAGTCTGACCCTTAAACCCTAAAATTTTATACCATCAGTAACCCAGTTCTCAGTTTCACTCTGTAAACAAGAGCAACCCTTTAATCCTCCTCCTCTAAAAAAGGGGGTCAATGCTAGCTATTTTGAGAATGAAGTCCCTGATATTCCCAGCAGTTTCACCGCTCTCTCTTTACCTCTCAAAGACCGCTTTTTGCTGTTCAGCTTCAAAAATTTCCAAGCTTTGCAATCCTTGGGCTCTCCAAAACCCCAAATTTCTCCATTTAAACCCCAGATTTCCTTCACCGATGACCCCAATCTATTCAATTTCAAACAGAAATATGCAAACAGAGGCGTCTCAGTTCACCTCACCGCCGTCCGGCGAGATTCATGTGATCGTAGGCCCCATGTTTGCAGGGAAAACGACGACGCTGCTTCGTAGAATCCAAGCCGAGAGCAAAAGTGGCAGGTTTGCACCTTCTATGTTCTGTAACCTGGTTCAGGCTTTGAGTTTTATTTTTTTGAAGGCAAAAGATATTCTCTTTGAATTTTTATTTTCGAAGAAGTGAAAAAGTGTTGGGCATCCCACACTATTCCTATATGTACAATTTTAACTATTAAATGGGGGCCAGGCCGTGATATTGGGGGCTTCCTCCCTCTCCAATAGTTTCTGCTTTACTGTACATTGTAGTTCAGGAACTCTGTTTTTTATCTGTCTTTGATTATTAATGAGGGATGGAGTATAAAGGTTTTAGACCAAACCAAACTATGTTGCCTTTCTAGCTATTCTTTCTGCTGGTAGCTAATGTGGATGAAAGGTTGCCTTTATTTCTTATTCTGTGAAAAGAGATTAAGATTACAGGAAATAAATACTTTGAATTGAATCCAGAAAATGCTGGAAAGTTTGTGGTATTATATTATGAATTGTTTATGCCAGTTTTGGGTACTAGAAGAAATGTTATAGAGGTTATGGTTATGGAGATGATGAGTTCAGGGATGATGAAGGAGCCTGGTTATCACAGGATTGAGGTTCAAGTGTAGCTGAGATTTTTGACTTAATCAAAGTGACGACTTTCAGTTAAAGGAATGCAGATGCACATTATCTATATATTTTTCCTTTTTATGTATCTTACAGCAAGGCGGAGCTGCTTGGGATTTCCAAAAGCTACATATTTTCACCTTAGTTTTTCTTGGAGATGTGTGGAATACTGGAATCTTTGGATCCCATCAGTACATGAATATGGCAAAGAGAAAGGTATAGTGCATACTGCATGAAATACAAAGGGAAAGTCATCTACAATCAGAAATTGCTCTGTTTGGTATATTTATCATGTGTGTGAGAGGTCAATTGTTTTGGGACAAAGGAGTTAGTAAGTAAAATAAACTACTTTTGGATATTTCCAATCAAGTTAGTAAGTAATGCCTATTTTTTGCTGAGAGGTTCTCAAATCTTCAGAATGCCAATATGAAAGTCATATGGCTTACATTTGTACTTAGATGAGTAGGCACTGCCTGATTATTCCAAAACATAAGGTTTTGTCTGCCTTCGGATACTTCTAACGCCTTCCTGGAAACCATTTTGGTCTTTAACCTTCTAGTAGAACAACTACAAAGAGATCCACATTTCATTTTCATGTATCCTTTGTAGTTTGTGGAATTTGTTGTTTTAGAAATGGATAATTTAGGGCTCTAAATTTAGCTCGCTTACAGTATAAGAACCTTTTTTTTTTTTTTTTTTATTGTTTTGGGCAGAAGGGTGGCAATAATTAAATCAAACAAGGATACAAGATATGGATTGGATTCAATAGTGACACA